AACTGATCAGAACAGATACTACACTTGATCTTAGCCAAAAGGCCGATAAAAATTTGCCTGTCTGTTCTCAATTAAGTAAGGTCTGTCTATCTAGTGCTACCGTCTTCACCCCAATAGAACGCCGGGTCATTATCGCCGCATCGGGACCGAAAATTGTGCCAAATACAGCGATAATGACCGGGCGTTCCATTCGGGGGGGAAGACGGTCGTCTCCTCTCTGATCCTTTTTAGTAATTCAGCTTGTACTTGTGAAAGGCGTGCAGCAGCATCTTGATGCTGCCTGCTGCTCCGGAGTGAGAGTCTGCTGCTGGGCCATAGCTACTGCACACCAGCCATCTGACTACACTGCCACCCGAAGGAGGGAGCTGGGATAGTCTGCCCCAGCAACTTTTTTTTTTTTTTTTTTTTTTTTAACAAGGCTCCATCTATTGCTGGGGAGCTTCGCCTGCTAGAAACGGGGTTCAGCGTCCCGTTCACATCAGGTAATATCAGGTAACCGGAATTTGTTGGAGGCCAATGAATCAGAGGCCTGTCAGCATTGATTGCCCTGGAGCCCAGGGGATTGACTGCACAGGTTGTGGGACGACTTTTGCCTATACCATTCTGGGGCCCTGCTCAAACAGGCACAGAGGGGGATAGTTGGAATGATGAGGATGGGGCTCCTTCTTCCAGGGGGGGACCGGATGAAGGGGGCCCGTCCGCCATTCCCACTACCCAGCTAACGAACTCCTCTACTGTCCGGGTTGAGTGGGCATATCTATTCCCTACTCCCTACTGTACCAGCTTAATTCCATCAGTGTATGATTAAAGAGGGGAAAAGGGTCTGGAAAGTCTGTTGGGGGGGGGAGGGGGGGGATATTGTCAGGGATCGTGGTCCAATTATTGAAACAGAGATGATAGTTCTTCTCTCCGGCTTCCAGTCAATGATCGTCGTCCAATTGCCAGCCATCCTATTGTACTCTTGCTATCCTCCCCCCAGGGTCCCCTCCCAGCTAGTCCATGCAGAATTCATTTAGGTAGCGAGTAATATCAGTCTTTCTGGAGAGGGTCTTTGTTGACTGTACTAGTTGTGTCCATCATGCCCTGATTGTAGTCTCAATTGTGTCCTTGATCATCTCAGTCATCTCACCCCTCCCCATATGTGCCCTATCAATGGTCAATATGCAACGGCGCCTCCAAATGGCCCACAGTACCGCTTTTCTACCTATCGAGAACAGGTTGGAGGTGAAACCTGAACCTTGGGCCGTCCAATCTCTGCAGAGCAGGGCTCTCCACTCCCATGGCCAGTCGGTGTCTGTTTCGAGGGCTGACCAAATTCTTGCCCACCATTGCCAGACCAGCGTTGAGGATGGGCATTGTAAGAAAAGATGTTCAATAGTCTCATTTACCTGATGGGACGGGAAGCCCTCCAGGCATTGTAAGAAAAGATGTTCAATAGTCTCATTTACCTGATGGGACGGGAAGCCCTCCAGGCAAGCCCCACACCACGGGAGGGCTGTGCCTTTCTGCTCCAGGCTAGAGTGGTCAATGAGCCATGCATTTGTGGGAAGGCAGCCGTGGACAATTTGCCATTGCAGCGAGGCCAGTTTGGCGGGTTTACACTTAATCTCCTTAAACCATTAGATGCCTCGCCCATCGGTCCACGATCTTTTAGATAGATACGGGATCTTAGTAACCTGTAAGTGGCCTTAACCCCCAAGTTGTGCAGGTAACCATTTTAACGGGGTTGTAGGTCCCACGAGGGGATCCGTCACCTCCATTCGGCCGGGTCGATGGGTTGTTCCTGGATGGGAAGCTCGGGCCTGAAGACTATCCAGTGGTCCCCCTCCCGCAACACTCTCACCCTGTGAATAGCTACCTTCGGGAGCAAGAACACCTCATCCGGGACCCCACACATCAATCTGTTATGGCTGGTCCTATAAAACAAATTTGCCAGCGCTTCCTCTCTGAGTCTGCCCCATCAACTTGCTCCTGACTTGGTCTGGCACTTCAACCTGAGGCCTGTGTGGCCATAGCTGCGAATGCCCGTTGTGCTTGTTCGGCGGCACTAACAGCACCTTGCCTCCTGGCGGCAGCCTCTGGTCTAAGCCTACGGTCTTCACCTGAATAGAACGCCCTGTCATTACAGCTGTATTTGGGCCCATTTTCACCGTGCGTTCTATTCAGGTGAAGACGGTAGCCTTCTCTCCCAGCCTCTCATGCTTGGAAAACATAAGGTAAGCTTTGATCAACTCTACTTTGTCACTGGCTTGTCGTCATCCACTCCCTCTCACGGTCCCTACCGCTCAGGCGACTCGAAACAACTAAGGGTCTCGCCGTCAGGCGACCCGAAACAACTAAGGGTCTCGCCGCATGGCACACGAAACGAAAATGAAACGAGTGCATCTGCCCACGAAAGGTGGCAAAATACGCTCCTTACTATTTATACCAAGCCCACGAACCTGGCCTTTTTCTGCAGGAAGATGCACTCGTTTCGTTTTTCGTTTCGTGTCCCGTGCGGCGATGCCCTAATACCTATACACTGCAACACCGTGTTCTTTGTCTTCCTGTAGTACAGTAATTGACTGGCAATAAAATTGAATAAATAAATGAATAATAATAGCAGGTTGACGTTGTCAGGGCTCACCCAGCCGCGGTACAAACACACTCTAAGGACTTCGCCGCACGGGACACGAAACGAAAAAGGGAACGAGTGCATCTTCCTGCAGATAATGGCCAGGTTCATCGGTTTGCTATAAATAGTAACGAGCTAGGCTACCAGCCGGGCCGCCCGGGTCACCCTATTTTCCCGGGCGGCCCGGCCGTGTAAGGACCAGGGAAGGTCCCGGCCAAAAAAAAATCCAAAAAATCCAAAAAATCTCCAAAAAATCCAAAAAAAAAATGTAATGCAGAAAAATAAATTGAACGACTTTTGCCTCAGGGTCACATCGAAATTCTGTACCATTGTCGGTTACCTGCGCTCGTTGTGGGTGGGCAGTAGAATCCACCCCTCATTTATGGCTGCATTGCCCTCACTCTCTCCGCATTTGGCAGTGGTGGAGGAAACACTGGTTTAACATCAAGTCAGCCCCGAACGACTGGACAGACTTGTGGATTCTTTTGGGCTGCTGCAGTTCATACCCCCCTAACGATCAGGGCTGGTCCTACATAGCGCAGGTTTGCAGAGGTATTATTATGAACACAATTTGAACGGCACGGAACCAGAAGCTCTTTAGGAACGAGGAGACGGGTTTGAACCAATTGAAGAACCTAATCAAGTCAAGAATTAGACTGACTATCATTGCGGACAGGCAGCGGAAGGGCTGGCTGTGGTTTCATAAGACATGGGCCCTTAATGACAGATTGGCAAAAGTCTCGCCTGAAGGGAAACTTTCAGTTTGCACCTGGTTGGAGAAGTGACCTCATTAGTTTGGAGTTGTTCCCCAAGTTTGGAATTGCTGGTTCAGGTCAGTATTAGGGTAAGTAATGGTAGCTGCCGGTGGCTGAGTACTCCCGGATAGGATTGTTGGTAGGACTCAGGATAGTGAGAGATTTTGTCCTCAAAAAAAAAAAAAAAAAAAAAAAATCTGTACCAAATTAAAAATAAAAATTTAAATTAAAAAACAATTTTTATTTTTTTATTTTTTTATTCCTTTTTGGCCCGGCCGGGCAAGTGGATTCGGGCCACTCTGGTAGCCTAGGTAACGAGTGTATTTCGCCACCTTTTGTGGGCAGAAGCACTCGTTTCGTTTTCGTTTTGCCGTGCCGCGAGACCCTAACCTACTGCAGACTACAGCTACTGTCTCTAATCAGTTCTGAAATTGACAAAATGCAACTACCAAACAGACTAAGTAGATTTCTGATGTTTTTATGTTTTTTTAATATTTTTATTATTATTATTATTTTTAATGTGGTCCGATGGACCACGGATGTGTGGAAAGCAACGAATCAAACCGGAATGCAAATGGCTACCCTAGAGAATACGTCACATGTCGAAATAGAAAATATGTGGTTGGTCTTGGTGGTAGGGTCCTGGGTTCCCTCGGAGGCGGCCCTTGCCCCTGCCATTCCTGGCTGGGGGTTGGTAGATTTCGGTGGGACTTGCTTCTGGATGGATGTTGACATAGGCTTTTCTCCAGGGATATAAGGAATAGAGCCCATTACTTTGAAAAAAAAAGAAAAAAAAGGAATAGAGCCCACTACTTAGACACGTGCAGGTAGGTAGTGTAAGGTATACTGGAGCGAGGAATATAGCTTTAGTTAAAAAAAAATAAAAAATACAAACGCACAAGCAAGGTAACAACTGAAAGCTGCCCCCTTTGGGCATTGCCACACCACGTTCAAAATGTGCAAAATGAGAATGAACTTCCCGCTAGAACATGGCCAGATGCACCCACCAATTTTTTGTCTTTTTCGCATTTCGAGAGTGGTGTGGCGACGCCCTTTCTGTATGTCCCACAGGTTATCATTGCAACATTATCCGGCGACTTACCATGAGATGATGCAGTGACTTAGGGCCTGGCCACACCACTCTCGAAATGTGCAAAATGAGAATGAACTGCCCGCTAGAACAAGATCAGATGCGCCCAACAAATTTTGTCTTTCTCACATTTGGACAGTGGTGCAGCAAGGCCCTTAGAGTCCATCCTGACCCACCGCAGTACACAAACCAAACGGCTGAAGGCCTGATCACAGGAAATTGTCTGGAGTCGCGAATGACCACGACTTCCCTAATGCCCCATCAGGTTATTTTTATAGACGTCCTTGAGCACACCATCTTTCCTCCCTTTCACAGGCCACCACACTGTGGCTTCTATTGCGTGGCTGGCTGAAGCTGCTGACTTTGAGTGTGAACTGCCCATGCATGCAACTGCCCATGCATGCATGCATGCGTGCACTACTCACATGAGCTGTCTTTGGACGTAGACTCGTGCTTCACCGCCCTGCGTGGCTGACTGAAACTGACTTTGAGTGTGAACTGCGCATGCATGCATGCATGCATGCGTGCACTACTCACATGAGCCGTCCTTTGGACGTAGACTCGTGCTTCACCGCCCTGCGCACTTCACAGGCGCCACCCTTCTCTCAGCAGATGCGCTGGAAGCGTGTTGACTCTCAAGGTAGCGCACCCGCGCAACTCGCCAAAAGAGGACTCTCACGTAGGACAGTCCTCGCGGTAAGAAGAATAAAGGATAAGCGCAGAGACAACATACCTCCGTCAACGCTGCCTCCAACCACAGATTAGCTCACCAGCTGTGATGAAAAAAAAGGGAAAAAAAAAAAGAAAAAGTGCCCTTCGCTGACCTGTCAGAGCTAAGGAACCGCCGACATTACGATGCAAGTGCCTCCAGAAGGAACGGCGAGCATCACCAGGCTCTCGCCACATGTTACGTACCCAAAAATAGCACGTTGTCGCCATGCGCACTCTATCTACGTCGGGCATGGCAGTCTTCCAGCGAAAGTGCAATCACACTGTCCCACTTCACCAGCGGGCACCGCATCAAAAGAAAATAGATTCACCTTTGAACGACTGACTGGTACCTCCAACCCTTTCTTGCAAAGGGGCCACAAGCTTTGCTGAAACGCCACGGCAGCATCTTTTTTTTTTTTTTTTTTTTTTTTTTTTTTTTTTTTTTTTTTTTTTTTTTTTGGCTGGTCCCAGAAACCATTTTGGTCAGGTAGCACTCACTGTTCATCCAAAGTCTTTGGAATGTTACATTTTCGAAAAAAAAGAAGAAAAAAAAAATGTTGCCTGAGAAAGGTATAAATGGATTCTTGTGTGTGCCTTGCCAGCTGAGCTAGGCCGCTAACACCTATTACTATTTTTAGTATTTTATTTAAATTTGCTTTTCTTTTTTTTTTGGTTTAGAACTTGACTGACTGGGTATTGTCAGTTGCACGGGGGTAAGGTCCCACTTGCGCAAAATTCGCAAATTAGGAGATTTGGGCCGTTGATCTGTGCTATCTACGGTCAGTATCTCTTAATTCGTGCAAGTGGGACCTTGCCCCGGGTAACCTATTGAACACATTTTGATATTTTGATTGGTGAGAGGAACTTCGAAAAAAAATGTGCAAGGGACGTGTTTGTCACAGACAATGTTTGGGTTTGACTGGAAAATAATCAGGACAACTGAAAAAGATAAAAAAACTATTTTCTTTCCTGACAAACTTGTCTTTCTGTTCTTGGAAAAATGCAGGGCTGTTGGAATGCTATCCATGAAGAGAGCAGCTTAGGTCGGTACAATATGAGCATTGCTGTGTGAATGGTGGCCCTTGAGAGAGAGAGTCACACACTTGTGCGGAAGGCAGGGGGGGGGGGGGGGGGG